GCGACCAGCTTTAGAAACAAAGGAGTGAAAGTATGCCTGGCTTTATGACGCTGAAGCACAAGCTCCTTCTAGACTAAGACCCTGCCTATTTCAGCCCTCTAGATACTCCAAAGCAAGTAACAATAGCCATAGAATGCTAAAATTAGTAATACCTAGGAAGAATTTACAAAGACGATAACATGGCCGTACTTCACTGGTGAGAATGTAAATCGGGTGACCTTTCAGAAGAACAATTTAGCGATATTTTCTCAAAGAAATGAACATTCAAGTACCCTTTGTTTCCATTATTGAACAACTAGAAGTTTGCCCTAACAACGACATATGCACGAACCATTCAGTGCAAGAAACTGGAAGCAAAGACTGTTTTTCAGTGGGACCTAACCCGCAGACCCAAAGCTGCAGGATCTCCACGACACAGAGCAACGAAAGGATATCCAGGAAGAGTCCTAGTGAGGACACAGCATCAGTAGTGCAATAGAAACCAGAGGCCTCGAACCAGACCAATGACTCTTTGCAATGAACACTTGCAAGTAATGGACAAAGGGGATCACTGTGTGACTCACTGTGTCACACTGCAGCTTCCATGTCGAGAATTTTTATTTTTTTTCCTTTTTAATACTTTCTCTCTTAAATTTTATTTTACTGGGGGGATGAAGGGATGGAGTGCAGATGCAAAGGGACGGGGAAATGAATAGGATCAAGACACATGATGTAAAATATGCATAGAACAAATAAAAAGAAAAAAGATTGTCCTTCAGTTAGGAACGTGGTTTATTTGATACAGGCATGAAGGGAAAACAAACTTATAGAAAAACGTAAACTTACATGCTCTGAAAAAAAAAGAACTATCAAGATGTATTAAGTGCGCAAAGAAGCAAGGTGCAGAATAGTGTAAATACTCTTTTGGTTTAAAAAAAATGTGTGTAGGAAGGGGACTGACAGACACACTGTCGTGTAATGACTTTACTCTGAAACAGAACACAAGAAGCTTTTAACAGTATAGGTCAGAGAATTATTTTGGTGTGCCATTTGAACCCATTAGGTCTTTAAAAGTTTTGTTTTCTTCCCTAACATTTTATTTTTTTCACTTTTTATTTTATTAGCTTTTTTTGGAGACAGGGTCTTGGGTGCTCAAAGCTCAACTATGTAGCTCAAGATGACCTGGAACTTCTGGTCCTCCGGCTTCCACTTCCCAAGGGCTGGTATTACGGGCATGGGCCACTATGCCTAGATATATGTGGCGCTGGTGACTCCAATCGGGGCTTCGTGTGCATGCTCGGCAATCTCTCTATCACCAGAAACCCACACGCACATCCCCATTAAACTCTTGTACAAACATCACATGTATGTGTTGAAGCTCCATAATGCTGGAGGGGCCTGTGTATTGCTGGTTCCTTCTAATACCCCACTCCATTCCCATGTCAGACTCTTATCTCCCTTTTACAGGCTCAGAGCTGCAGGCTCAGAGCTGCGAAGTCTCTTAAGGTCGTACAGCTAGATGGCTGCAGAGCTACAATTTAAATGTACCAGTTAGACCACTGCTTCTCAACTGCCAGGCCAAACCACTTTAAATCGTCTTTATACCCTCACTGCCTACTGAGAATATGTTGGTGAACAACTGGGACCTTATCAGATAATTCATAAGAAATACTTTCCTAAGCAGAGAGCCATCCAGGGAGGCAGGCAGAAGGTCGGAGCTTGTTTAAATTAGACAGACCCATTCCTAAACGGTTGGGAGATTGGTTTTTGATGCAGTGGCGATTAAGAATCTTATTTAGCTCCTCCTTCCAAAACATTATGAACGGTAGGGTCAGCAAAATGGCTCGAAGGGTAAGGGCGTTTGCTGACAAGCCTGGCAACCTGAGTTTGATCTCAGGAATCCAAAATGGAAGAAGAGAACTGGTGTTCCTATGGGTTGTCCTCCAACATCTATTCACATGCATGGCATACATGCATATCATACACAACAATCAAACACATGCATGGCATACATGCATATCATACACAACAATCAAACACATGCATGCACACCATACACAACATATCAAACACATACACGCACATCATTCACAATAATAATACATAAAATAAAAATTCAAAGATTACCATTACTTTCTGTCTACAATAATTTCTCTTTGCTCTTTAAAAAAAATAGAATTATTTGGAAGATGAAAGTCCACTCATCATGCTCTGAGTCCATAATTAATGGCTTTGTTTCCGAGTCAAAGGCTGTATCGCACTCACATTTCACTATATATTTGTTCATTTTTCTTCTCTTTTAGTCCTCCACGGGCCATTTTTAATACCAACACATAACTCTTGTGCCTCTAAACTGCAGAGTATTCCATTTTAAACATATGCAATTATCAAAAAGTACCTGAAATAAATTGGAATCGAAGTTACTTCCAAGTCTAATCTCCTACCAAGTGATGTAACTGGTGAACAAGCATCCTTCCGGCCAAGATCTGAAGCGCTCTTCAGACGGGGTGGGGTGTACCATTTGACCTTCCTGTACTGAAGAGAGTTGGGAGTAACTCAGTAGAACTCTGTTACATGCTGGAGTGTGTTTCAGTATATGCAAAAGCAAAGAACTTTCTCCTCAGCGAGGCCAAAACAAAGATATTAAAGTTGACAACAGGTGAGATGGCCTCGAAAAGAACAGCTTTGACAGTTGTGTGACAGAGCACTGCCTTGCTTTGACGGCTCATTGCTGGCGGGATCAGAAGAGGAATTTCCCCATTCGGTTCTAAGCATGGCTGGTGGAGGGCTGTGGATTCCACCAGACAGCCTGGAGACAGCCAGACTGGGCGATGAGCAGCAGAGCTCCAAATCTGGCAACAGCACGTGTGGGCAAGGAACAATGACCTATGGGGGAGACTCCAAGCTCACAGGCCAAAACTCTTCCAGCAGGGGGCAGTGCCTTGGATTGCAGGCTGGACCCAGGCTAGCAGGAGGCAGAGCTGGAGACTTCGCTGGAGAGATTGCACCAGTTTGCCACCGAGGAGAAACTGAACCAAACTATCCTTTGACTACTGTAAGTGACATTGGGGAATATTGACCAGGGACAATGGGACCTCCCTCTTCTGTGTTTCGCCTTTTTTTCCTAATGTCTAACACTTTAGACTGCTCATAAAGGCTTGCAAATGAAGAAATGTGGAGTCACTTTAACTAGGCTGGCCAGCGACTCGCTCAGATTTCTGAGTGTGCTTGAATAAAGAAGGGAGTGAAAAGCCCAAAATACTGCCCAGCCTTGTGGCCCCGTGGATCTGACATAAAGTTTACAAATAGAAAGTTAGCAGTAACAATTTTCTCTAAAAATAGAACTCAGTTTAACAGGAGAGTTATTATTTGTTTTTGAATTTCAAGGCTATGAAAGATGGCTTTTAAAAAAGTCCCACTGTGGAACAGCCAGCTGGGCAATTTCTTAGACATGCAGATGACAAAAAAAAAAAAGATTAAATAAAATTATTTCACGGGCCCAAACATTTGCAATCAAGTTTCTTGAATACTGGTTCCCATTTCTGCTGTGTTAAACAAAACTGAACAACCCACCATAACGTCTACTTGTAATGTTGATGTTTTGATCTTTGTGATTTTTTTTAAAAGAGCTTGTATTTGCTGAGGGACGTGAGGCAGCTATGCCAATTGATAAAGTACAAAGTGGCACTTATGACTAAAACAGCACCTTAAAAAATCAGAGCCCAAACCAACTCTGAGGGTCCTTGGCTTACATTGCTCAGGACAAACATCAAGTTGAAGAAATGTCAGCGAAGAGAATCAACTTCCTAAACTGTTTTATTTTCCTAGCAACTTCCAGACTAGGGATGTTTGGTGTTTTCTCTGTTGCTAGATTATTGGCTGGCGGTCTTGCAAGGGCCAAGAAGAGAATCTGGTCCTCAGAAACAGCTGGTGGACGCCTAGAAGTCAGGGGGACTCTGGCGGGCCAGGGGTTGAGAAAAATCGGCCAATCGCTACCAGCCTGCAGGCAAGGGAGCCTTAGGTTTCACCTAGGCGCCCTTTCTCAAGGCCATGGCCCGACTGGTAACCCGGCCAGGCCGGCTGGTGTGCTCAGCAGGGCGCGGCCCTAGCGCCACCCGGCTCGCCCCGAAGAAGAGGTGGGACTTTCCCCACCGGAAGTGAACGCGTCCAGTCTTGGGGAATTGGGGCACCTCAGCCAGTGTGTCAGGGAAACCCTTCCGGGTTTATGCTGGGGGGGTGGGAGGGTGGGGGTGGGGGGTGGGTGAAGAAAAAAAAACGAGGTGGGTTCCACTGGAGTCGCTGCTACCCGCCGCCGCTGGACGGCCCCCGCCCCTTTCCTGTCCGCGAGCAGCAAGGCTGGGCCGCCGAGTGGCCATGGCCTTGGCTTGACTGAGCCTCCCAGGCGGCATGGTAAGCGGCGGCGGCTCCAGGGAAGGAGGCAGCAGAGGCGGCGACTTTGGGGGCCGACGTGGAGGTCAGGCGACTCCTAACGTGCGCCCCTTTCCGCCCCCTCCGTCCCCGTCTCCCCCCCCCCCCCCTCGTTACAGGCTGGACGACTCCCGCGGGAACCCGGGGCCCAGAGACCCCGCCCCGGTGACAGCGAGCGCGGCGGGACCCCGAAGCCTCGGGCCGGCTCAGCAGCGGCGCCAGCAGGAAGCGGGGTCCCCGGGCCCCTTTGTGTGCAGGGCGGGGGAGGGGTGGCGGGCAGCCCCCGGCAGCGAGGCCCCTGCCCCTTCCCGCGTGGGGGTGCGCGCGTGGCGGCTTGCGGGCGCTCCCTCCTCCCCACGCCCCCCTGGCCAGCCTTGGGTTCCTATAGGAAGGGCATTACCATCCCATCCCCACCCACCCCACACTTGGCTCTTTCCCCTCCCCCTCCTGTAACTTCCTCCTTGTCCCCGGTTGGGCCCTAGGCTTCTCCACACTCTCCTCCCCAGTTCGCACATTTCTGCCCACCTTCTGCCTCGCCTTGCCGCAGTGCAGCTAGCGGGTGTTATTTTTCCCCCCTTTGGGGAGGAGTTGGTGAAGGTGAGACTCATGAGGGAATACAAGGTAGTGGTGTTAGGGAGCGGAGGGGTTGGCAAATCTGCCCTCACCGTGCAGTTTGTCACCGGGACTTTCATTGAGAAATATGACCCCACCATTGAAGATTTCTACCGCAAAGAGATCGAAGTGGACTCTTCCCCCTCAGTACTGGAAATTCTGGACACCGCAGGAACCGAGCAGTTTGCCTCCATGAGAGATCTGTACATCAAAAACGGCCAAGGTTTCATCCTGGTGTATAGTTTGGTTAATCAACAGTCTTTTCAGGTAATCAAACCGAGTCTTGTAATTTCTTCGAAGGGGGTGTGGTAATCCTACATGTACTTCTGATTTGCCTGAGCTGTGCGTTAATGAGTGTGTTTGGCTTTTGAAAGTTTGGTGTGGCATGGGCAAGCACTGGGTTATTTCTGGAGAGTGCTAAAGTCACAGGCATCGACAAACATTTTAAAGTTATTTTTAAGGAAAAGAAAAGTGAAAACGAAATAGGTCAGCCTGCGTATATTTAGCCCTTATTCTAACCTGAAGTTGCGTATTCAATTCAACAAGTATTGATTAACGTGCTCAACAAAATATTTCATAGATAATCTCAAGTAAACGGAGCACGAAGAAAGAAATTGTTAAGTCTATTATCTCGTACACATAGATAAAAAAAACCTGTGCGCCTGCTTCCTCCGCTTCTCTGTTCGCCTCTAAGTTCCTCAACTGGAATCCTAAATCTCAGTGCTGCAAAATGAGTGCAAGTCCTGTTTTCGTGGTATTTTACTGGGGGGGGGGAGAGAATGCAGCCAGAAAGGAAGTTACTAGTCTAAAGGACTAGTACCTAGGATTCCTAACCACCAGAAAGTAAGAATGACTCTCCTTTTCTCTCGCTGATCCGAATCGTTTCTGCCATCGTAGGCTATACTTAGAGAAAATATGTGGAACTGGGAACGCTGAGCGCGGGCAGTTTTCTTATCCCAGCGGGGTAGCCAACCTGGATCTGGTCCAGCTGCTTCAGAAAATGCGTCCTGTCTTTCACTGGGAAACAGACTGAAGTTAACGTTATTTTAAGAGATGCAATAATTGTGCTATTTATTCTTTGAAAATAAATGACCTTGTATTGACCCGTTATATTGACCTCCATTGATTTAGGAAACGGATATTTTTTTTCTGCATTTAAAGGTATGCACTTAATGTTGCTTACTTAAGAAATCTTAAGTGCCTTAGCCAGTATAATGTGCTAGTTTCCCATTCTTCAGGAGTTGAAGTTTAAGTGCTACATAGGAATTTTTTCAGTAACCTCAGAACAACTTCAAGAACTTCTTTGTAAAGATAGTAAGTCCTGAGTAAATGAATCTAAAGTACATTTTAGGTAGACTGAGATTCCAAACTGAAGTACCATAAAGGCATTTCCTTCAGAAAGTACTAAGGGTATTTTCTAAGGGGTCCTCAGATTAGTTTGTTATCAGCAGCCTCTCCCGAGGCTGGGAATCTTTTCAAGGGCGTCTCCTAAGATTTTTACTGGACCCACTTCTGTTCTGGACATCAGTGTGGAATATGGAACTGTGGCATTATTTCAGCAGATACACAGATTTTTTTTTGAGGCGAAAGTTAGTATTCTTAGCTAAACTTATTCCATAAGGGAACTCAGAAAAGCAGCTTGACAATTGAGAGAAGACTGAATGGGTGTACTTGACCTGTGCGAGTGTTCTGTTTACTGGAGTTACTCAAATACATATTTTATATTTTAAGTCAACTCATTTTAGTTACAAAACTAAAAAAAAATGTAATTTTGGGCCTAAACCTCTAATATTGTCTTACATCAATAGAGTTCTTTCCAAAAATTGATGTTACTGAAAGGCAGCTATGACTCTGATCTTCGTGGGGGAAATCAGGAGGAAACGCACATGGGAGAAGAAATGTGTGACTTCCCACCCACACTCCAGATGCAGTGTCCTTCTTGGGCCATGCTCACTGTTAGGACAGTTGTTCGGTGGTACAAGGCCAAGCACATAGTAACCAATTTAAAATGAAATATTTATGTGTATGAATCTGTTTTTAAAACTGGATTTCTAAGCATTACAAAGTGGGTTTTTGAGGGGTTGTTGTTTTGGGGTGGATTTTTGGGGGGATTACTTCTTAAAATACTTTCTCTTAAGCCCTCTTGCTGAATGACTAGGAGTTTCATAGACACTGCAGTCTTGTGCTGGGATAACAGGTGTTACAGGGAATGAAGACAGCTAGGCAGGTTTAGGGAGCTGGCCAAACATCTGTATGTGCAAATGTATTAATCATATTTGAGAACTTGATTTTTTAATTGAAATAGACGGAGGATGGGGGCAGTGGTTAGATGAATTTTAAGGTTAGTATGCAACTTTTCTATTTTATATTCCTGATGCAGAAGCACAGCCAATGCCTGTGGAGATTATCTAGTTCTCATGTCCACGGGGGAAAATGACATTGTTGTCTTTGTTTCAGTATGTGGTTCTAGCTTTATATGATACCAAGGAATGATTCTTGCGATATTGTAACACATCTGCTGTGGAATGCAAACATATAATTTTGTTCTTTTCCTTTGTGATTGCTTGAATAGGATATCAAGCCAATGAGAGATCAGATTGTGAGAGTGAAGAGATATGAAAAAGTTCCACTAATCCTAATAGGAAACAAGGTGGATCTGGAACCAGAAAGAGAGGTTATGTCTTCAGAAGGCAGAGCTCTGGCTCAAGAATGGGGCTGTCCTTTCATGGAAACATCAGCAAAAAGTAAATCAATGGTGGATGAACTTTTTGCTGAGATCGTCAGGCAAATGAACTATTCATCCCTCCCCGAGAAGCAAGATCAGTGTTGTACAACTTGTGTTGTCCAGTAAAAAAAGAAAACCTCAATCATGGCCATACCGAGCAGGTTAGTTGTTGGTGGAATTGTAATTGTACGGGCCAGGTGGCCTTTTGGTTTTGATCAAGTATAAAATAAACAACTGGTTAATAGTAATATGTCCATACATTTGACACCACCTTAAGTTTCTGTATTTTTAAAATAACATTTTTTCCTCAGCATAAAACCATCATCATTCAATGCAGAAAACCTTTTTAAACTGCAGATAAGCAGAACAAAGGTAAGAAATTGTGTGTATTGCCATTGATGAGATTTGGTTTTTTAAGGAGTGGCTTCCTATTTTTCCTTCTCAGCCTTACTCGATAAAATTTGGAGGGGATGATTCATCCCATAGTACATCTTTCCCATGTTCTGTAGTCTTAGTGTCCAATATGCACAGCAGAACACTGAAAAATAATATCACAAGATGATGAATAATTTTCTGATGTTTTTAATACTTTTATATTCTGGGCAAGAGAGCCACTATAATTGAAACCACTAATTTTCTAATTACTCAAGTCCTTGATTTAACAGAATGATTATTTAATCAAGTTCATCTGTACCTTGCACTTGTGCAACTTAAGTGACCTCTGATAACAAATTACACCGTCACAAAGTACCTTCACTTCCTTTGAATACCTGATGAAGTGAAAATCTGCTTAAATCATCTCTCATATGTCAGAAGGAACCATCTGAAGCACAAGGGGGCATTTCTACTCAGCTTAATAAGTAATGCAACTGAGAACAATAAAAACTAAAAACCTACACACCTTATGATAAATTATAGTATGTTTTGAAGAGCTTTTGGGAAAATAAGGTCATATAAAACTTTATTGAGCATTTAAAATGAGATAATTGCATATATATATATATTGTGATAGATAGATAGATAGATAGATAGATTGATTGATTTTCAGCTGAATTGTAATTGGTCAAATAGTCTCACTTAGAGTAGCATTTAAATAATCATATAAAGCACCAATACTGTGGAAGATTAAGAAAACCACAGTAAATGCCAGACTAGCAAGACAGTATCAGAATGCAGCTGACCCTTCTGAGCCCGGGCTGACCTCCAGTCTAGGAAGCAGCTTTGCAAATGGCAAGAGGCATGCCAGATCACAGACATGATTGCTAACCAGAGGTCTGCCTTTATTTGTGCTGCCTAGAGAAAGGACTCACAGACCCTAATTTATCTCTTTAGACAAGGACTCTTGTCAGGTAGTGTCACCTTTGAAAATAAAGGATGACAATGGTGCTTTCTTCAAAATGCCTTTACCATCTGAAAACATTGATGAAAACCTCTTTATAACCTCTAGCTACATCTGTTATTTTATACAGGCACTGCTGGGGCTTTGGTCTAGCTTATGGATGCTGACAGTCACGCCCATCCAGTGTAGTTCTTGAGGTGGGACAGGCTTATGTAGCTGTGTATGTGATTGAGTCCCACATTCTTGACTCTGCAATCTGTCTTTTAAGTTGTAAACGAGCTTCAGGTTTGAACAAGTCCTGTATGCTGATAGCATCTGTACTATTAAGTTCTACTTCTCTCACACTTTTGAACAGAAGATGTAAATCTATGTACTTTGTTTCAGTTTTAGCATCCTTATAAAAAATTAACCAAAACATGAAAAATGGTTCTTCTCGTTATTAATGTAGGAAAGGAGGGTAAAAGCAAAATTAGTCTCATATACCTAAAGGGTCAATTGTTACGCCTGTTGGGATTTGGATAATTTCTACAGATATCCTTAAATTTTTATTATAAATTCTGAGTTTGTTTGACTGTGTATGCTCTCATGATCTCAGTTTTCTTACTTACAGGGATGTATACATGGGAGGACTTGAATATACCAAGCCTACTATGTTCATGTTTTTTGTTGATTAACAGCAACTAAACTCAGATGTTACTTCTACCAGTAATTACACATTTTTATTAAGTGACTCTGTAATAATATATAGCTTTCTGCTTGATTTATTCTTCTTGTAAGCAGAGCACATGGCTGAAGGTGTGGCCCCTGAAATAAAGCACTTAATCAGCTGGATTTCTGAAGGATCTTTTAGAACAGTGTGCACTGTATGCAGAGTTTTTTCTAGCGCCAAGTCAGATGGAACTGATAGGTATGCAGGTCTGTAACCTGAGGCCAGTGGAGTTCGTGGTTGTCCTTCCTCACTGTTACCTGAACAAGTATGTGATGGATTGTGAGTCCCTGTGAGTCATGGAGCCCTGCAGGCTGGCAGTTCCAGATCTAGACTGATGATCAAACTTCGACAGGAAAGGTGACTTGAGAAGGGTTTGTCCTTCGTCTTAGGAAAGTACTTTGTCTGGTTAGAAGTAGTAATACTTAAGACAGAAAGACCATGGCTTCTGCTAATGGTTGGCTGTATTCAGCTGAGATTGGGGATCTCTTAGTGCTCTTAGAATGGCTCCTGGTAATTCCTCACATTTATTTTCTAATAGCCTTTAATTTGGTTCACCAGTCTGTTGCCCAACACCTGCTCCAGGGCCCGGCTCCCATGATTGTTTCTTCCCCTTTTACCCTCCCACTGGCAGTCATTTTATTGTAAATTAGGAAGTGTGGCAGATTCTTTAGACCTGCCATCCTGATTTCCTTACTGACTGACCCACAGTGGCTTCTAGCAAGCACTTTGTGGAACTGTTTCCCCGGGCAGCCGCAGTTGCATAAAAGCCTAGGTCAGTGTTGGAGCCCTTGTTTCAGTCCCATCTGGTGGATATTATTTTAGTCGACATGTGCTGTTTGGGTATAATGGTATTGAGAAGGATGGCTGTTTTGTTAATAACATACTATAAAGGAAGAAAATCAGAGCAGTATGGGCATTGAGAAGAAGGAAAAAGCAGAAATTCCCGGTACTCAGAGCTTTGTTTTTGAGGGCTGTCCTATGTTTAGGGCCATCAAAGGTTGAGCAATATCCCTGGCAGTTACCCTGTAGATTTGATATTATGCTCCAACCCTCCACTTTTGACAAAACCTATTATCTCTAGAAATTGCAGACTACCCATTGATTGTGGGGATTGAGCGACCCCTCGTTAAGAGCCAGTGAGCTTAAGGAGCTTGGGAACAGTAGCATTTGAGTCGGGCCTTGGCAAATGGATATGGTGCAGGGGATAAAAGGGAGAGTTTTTCCTAAACAGAAGGAATCTGAAGAAAAGGCATAATAATAGCCTTAAATGTTCTAGCCATGTCCGCAAAGAAGGGAGATGTGCATTCAGGTTATCTCTTATGTGATAATTTGGTCTAACCTTTTGGCAAATAGAGTTTTTAAAATGATACTTGAAGCAGTCATATATGTCAGTCCAGCCTTGATGAATGTTATGAAGGAAACTTTTTTTAAAAAGGGAAATGTGTTCTTTACTGTGGGCTGAAGGTCTGAAAAATGTTCTACCATTTTCCTCAGCATGATATGGAACAGGTTCTCCCAAGTACAGTAAATGGTGCATCAGAGTACCAAACACCAGGAAGCAAAATGAAAGAACAAAGATCATTATTTATGGCAGCCTCAGTTCATTATATATGTCAGCCTGAAGAAAAAGGGAGATTCTTATTTCAAGACTAGCACGTCATTTCACGTGGCAGTGGAGTGCCCGGGATGGTAACAAAGACTCCTGGGAGGCTCAGCCATCTATGAATGGGATTTTATTCTAGCTGGGTTTATTATTTCTTAAATGGACTAGGATGGATTCCAATTTTCAAGATTTTTAATGTAAATGTAGACTAAGAACAGTTTCTTAATCTTTTTTTCTTTTCACTAAATATGATAGTACAGCAAATGTAAAAGGAAGATCCTCAAGATCAAATCAATGTACCTTAAAATGCTGGCATTTTTGTATTCAAGGCAAATATTTCTTATATGCGTAGAACCTAGGGTGCATCTCTGTTGCAAAAAGTGTATCATCTGTCCCCTGCCCTATTTAGCGTGAGACTTGGAGTGGAAAAACAGTCCCCTTTTCATATTGTGAGCCAGAGAGAAGAGGAGGATTTGGGTTGGGGAAAGTCTTGCTTTGGGGCAGAGTACCGTGAGTGCCTACAGTAGACCTGGGGCACTAGGGATGAACAGAGCTGTTTGCCTTCCCTGCCACTCTTGATTCTCCCCAGCCCTTCTGACCTCCACAAGGTTCTCAGTTTGACACTTCGGACAAGATAGGTGCCTCATTAGCCCTGCACTGGGTGTGGAGGTGTGACTAGAGAGAGACTGTGTACATGTTCCCTCTTTAATTGCTTCCTCTCCACCTCAAGATTAGGCTTTTAATATAGAATGAAATATGTGCAGACTGCTAAGTTTTACTCCATTACCTCCCTGGCTTAGAATGGATCGTCAGTAGAATTAACAAATATTGCATCATGGAGCTGGAGAAGTGCCTCTGAGGAAGCGTTCTAGTCTTACTACTGGAACAATTCTCATGGGATTGCTTCTCAATGGAGTTGTACAAATCAGAAGATAATGGAACTAAGAAAAAATGAAACCCTGTCAGTTGTGGGGAAAACGTATCCAATCAAAACCATATGCACAAGTCCTTGGATTAGCTGTAAGTTTTGGAAATGTCTCTTTCAGAAAGTACTACTTATATTTGTGGAGAACAGTACTTTACTTGGTGTGAGTCAAAGTTAGCAGTTGGAGTCACATCATTGGCCTCACATTATTTCCACTGGACATGGCGACAGTATTTGAGATGTTGGAATTGAATTCACCACGGTAAAGCATTTGACAATCTTAGGTCTAGGCAACAAGAACACTATCTAAACCATTCCTCTTGACTCAGGGTTCATCATGTGCACTCAGCATGTATGCTTCCCTTCCAGCATGGATTCATCTTTTGCTGTCTGTTTAATGGGAGACAATGAATACTGTTAATGTTTTGGTCTTCCTATTCCAGTACCAATAAGATTCATGCAAATTAGAATAAAGGAATGAAACAAGATAGGTAACAACAACAATAAAATTCGGCCTTGAACACATAACAGAATTTCATTAATACAACTAATATTTAGCTCAAATAGGAAAACGTCAAGTAAAAATGTAAAAAGAATTTTATCTTTTAGGATTGTCCCTTGCTTAAATCTCCAGAATTTCAAATGTCTGAAACTAGAAAAGAAGAAAAGGAAAGAAAACATTGACTGGTATTGCACGTCTATATTTGCTAAAATGAGAAAAATTATGGTAGTAAATACCATTGTTTCTAAAATGGAAACTCTAGTTAAGCTTAAAAAAACTTCACAGACTGGTAGTGTCTCATGATCCTTTGTTGATGTGTTTTGTCCTGAATCAAGAATCTGTCTTTTTCTTCAGGCTGACATAAATAATGATCTTTGTTCTTTCAGGTCTGTGTGTGGTGCGTTTGTGTACCAGGTTACTACACTTGGGAGGTCCTTTTTCACTTACTGACTCAGTGTTTGAACTACTGTTTGCTTCTGTTTTTTACTCCGATAATTTTATTAGAAAAAAAAATTAAAACCAAACACTTTAGTGAGAGTTTGAGTAGAAGCTGCCAGAACCAAGATTTGTTTGCTGGCTGGTAGCTTAAGTATTATCCTCTGGCCTGTGGACAAGGAAAGTAGCGAGTTAAGGCTTTGCATCAAGTGTGTCTCAGTGTAATAGCCGAGAGTGCAAATGCGCTGGTCTGAGTGACTGCCTTTAAAGAGTCGGGAGTGCTTTTCTTTTAAGTGGACGAGAGCGTTAATAAACTGAACATTTTGCTGTCGCTGTACAGCAAGGACATTTACATTTCCCGTCCTGAACATTCCTAATATGATAGACGCTGTCCTTTTGGCTTAATGAAAGAAGTTGCTTCAGGATTTATTGCTGCAGAGGATTATAATGTATTGCTCTTTTAAAAAGTGGCTCTTATTTGTTTAAAGGTATGCTCAATGTTAACATTGTTGGGTGTGACGCAGAGTTGGTCTGCTTGACTTGATTTCACTGGAGGCATGTAGATAGATCGAATGTTACTCAGGGCTGTCTGGGTGGGAAGTCATGGATACGTAGTTTTTATTTCATATAAATTGTGATTAGTAAGCTGGTTTGTGGGATGTAAGTATTTTGTCACTTTGATGGTAGAGTGTTAAACCGTCACATTTAGTATCTTAGATATGATGCTGTAATCATATCTGAAAAATCCAAGCTCTTGAATATTTATTTTGAAAATTGAAAATTAGAATTTATAGTATACTGTTTTGAATTAATCAGGGGAAGTCTAATATGAATTAGTAGAAGTCAAATATTATATGTAAATAATCAAGCACTTTTTGGTTTAAAAGATACATAAATCCTAACTAAGCTTGAAAATCAAATATCCTTAGTGTAGATATTGAAGAATTGATGATCTGATCTTAGCGGTTTAAAAATCAATAACATGGTTGGAAAAGGAAAGCAATTCCTTATATTTTATCCTCATTTTATGGAGTACTTTCCCACATTGCCTTATATAATAGAGATAATATCTCTGTGAGGGAAGAATTTTTCTTGCTATTTTAATAATGATGAAACTGTACTTTCTCAAACTTAACCCATGTTCTAATCTAATACTTAGCTTTCCATGTTTAAGCCTGACTTTTAAGAAGACCGAGTTTTTCTTATAGTTTCTTTTTTTTTAATTTATTTATTTATTAAGGATTTCTGCTTCGTCCCCACAACCGCTTCCCATTTCCCTCCCCCTCCCCCGATCAAGTCCCCCCCCCTCATCTGCTCGAAGAGCAATCAGGGTTCCCTGACCTGTGGGAAGCCCAAGGACTGCCCACCTCTATCCGGGTCTCGTAAGGTGAGCATTCAAACTGCCTAGGCTCCCACAAAGCCAGTACGTGCAGTAGGATCAAAAACCCACTGCAATTGTTCTTGAATTCTCAGTATTCCTCATTGTCCGCTATGTTCAGCTAGTCCGGATTTATCCCATGCTTTTTCAGACCTAGGCCAGCTGGCCTTGGTGAGATCCCAATAGAACATCCCCATTGTCTTAGTGTGTGGGTGCACCCCTCGTGGTCCTGAGTTCCTTGCTCGTGCTCTGTCTCCTTCTGCTCCTGATTTGGACCTTGAGATTTCTGTCCGGTGCTCCCGTGTGGTTCTCTGTCTCTGTCTCCTTTCATCGCCTGATGAAGGTTAATATTCCTGAGGATGCCAACCCACTGACTGGGAGAAGATCTTCACCAACCCTGCAACTGACAAAGGTTTGATCTCCAAAATATATAAAGAACTCAAGAAACTAGACCGTAAAAGGCTAATCAACCCAATTATAAAATGGGGCACTGATCTGAACAGAGAATTCTCAACAGAAGAACTTCAAATGGCCAAAAGACACTTAAGGTCATGCTCAACTTCCTTAGCGATCAGGGAAATGCAAATCAAGACAACTTTAAGATACCACCTTACACCTGTCAGAATGGCTAAAATAAAAAACACCAATGATAGCCTTTGCTGGAGAGGTTGTGGAGAAAGGGGTACACTCACCCATTGCTGGTGGGAATGCAAACTTGTGCAACCACTCTGGAAAGCAGTGTTTCGGTTTCTTATAGTTTCTAAGGAGAAAGCTTTTCCTAGTGTGTTTAGGGGCAGAATCTCAATAATGATGAGTGGGGATGTCTTTCAAAGGGATCGTGTTTATGATACAGCTAATGAGAACACATTCTTGCAAGCTCTTTGAACACTAATACAAGTGTAGCTGTTAAGTGAATGTAGAATTATGTGTTGTAGACATTGCTAGAGCCCATGCAGATCCCACACCAACTTACTTGGCACTCCTTCATAGTTGCTTTTCTTTTGTTTCTTCCTGATAGGCTAGCATATTTTATCTTCTACAGTAAACAACAAACACAATTTCATTCCTGTAGAAGCCAGTTGGTGACTCAGCACAGCTGAAGGGCATAATATGTGTCTGAATGATAGTTTTTTCTCTCCTAGTATTAAATGGAAGGCAGAAATCTGTCAGCTATAAGGATAGAAACTGAAAAATCTCTATTGGAGAAATTCTTGTGAGTGAGAGGGTTCCATGAAAAGAGCAGATCAGAGTAGGGCGTGTGGCCTGCTGTGTGTCACCCTCCAGGTCTGAGTATCTACACTCTGAATCATACAAAATTCCCACAAAGCCAAACTTTGGAAAAAGTAGTATACTTACAAGGTAACTCATAATGAGCAATGAAATCTATCACCATTTCAAACCAGAAGCACCATTTGTCCCAATTTCTGTATTGTAAGATAATTTTAATCAGTACAAATATTGTTAATATCACATATGTGTGAGTAGGAAGTGTCATACATAGGATTATAACAACTACTAACAGACGCACTGTCTTCTCTCCGGTTCAGCCATACTACACTAATACTTTCTGGAGACTTTTCTGAATCTGCAGAAAATGATTCTGTTACTTAAACTGATGGAGACCACAGTGAAATTAGACCCTAAGATCCCATACTAATGAGCTTCAGCATGCATGCATACATATGGATCTGTTGTCAGGGTTGCTTCTGAATATTCAACTGTATATCTCTTAAGTTTTCATGAAATTTCTTTGATCTTTCTTGCAGATAAAACTCAGAGGAAATTTGCACAGATGCTGCTTTGGAGAACTTTACAACCTGGTTTGCAGAACTGAGCCTTGGTAAACCTGTCTCTATCACAGCATGTTGCCATACATCTAATGAAGTGCATAAGGTCTTTGGCCCTCAAGATCCAAGGACCTTAACAGTAATGCTTAGCACGTTTACCATACATTTAAAATCTGTTCTTTATCAATCCGTCCTTTTATAGCTTTTTAAGTTCTTATTGATGGCTAATATGAAAGGGTTAATTTTTAATATGTTAGTTGATTTCTTTAATCACTTTCTCAACTTGTATTTATTACTCAAACTCAGTATTACCTACTCAATGCCTTTTAAAAGAAAGATATAATGGAGAAAAATTGAGCCTTAAACAAATGGTTACTTCTGTATATTACCTCGTACCAATGCTTCATCCTGTTTTTAAAATCTTTCTCCTTTAAATGGTCGCTTAATACTTTGAGACTTTGTTTACGTGTGGCAGTGTTGTAAAAAGAAACTAAAGATCACATTTTACCTGTATGGATGGAATTTCCCTTTTCTTCAAGTGCAGTTTGTGATGTGTTTTGTAATTAGCAATCTGAAAGTTACAGGTGATATTGGAAGTTGATTGTACAGCATTTACTTGAAGAATTTGATTTCATTAGGCCTTCACATGTGTTAATCTCATTTACAGCATTGAATTGCGGCAGTAACATTTTCCTTTCTGTGAAGTTCTAAACTTAGTTGTGACCTACTTAGCAATGCCTTTGAAAAGGGATATTGTGTCCATGGTAAATTAATTGTATACCTAAACAGAGATAGCTCAGTTTTGCCTGTCAGGCATGTCATTGACATCTTGTAGACTTCTGCACATGTAAAATTGAATTCAAATAAAATCATGTACACTTTCTAGTTCTTAATATTTGTCTTTCTGAACAGTAGTTTAAAGCAATATTTGTTGGTGTTTTTCTTGCACTGTCACAACTGCTTTTTAGTTTTTTTTTTTCAAGAAGCATGTTCGTAGGAGAGACAAAAATCTGTGTAACAGGAGGGAGAATAGCACCAAGTCTCTGGCTGTTTTTATTTTTTTTCATTTTTGCAAATGTGCTTTCTAATAGCCATTGCCTTCCATGTTGTTTACCCAATCAGCACATTTTGTCTGAATACTTGAACATTTTACCAGTAACGCAGGTATAGAAACAGAGAAAGAAAAACTTACAATGAGCAATCTTTTGGTTCAGTTTTAACATCATGACCAGTGCTTTTTCTAGCAATTATTTTTCAGTTGTATAAGTTTGACAGTATTTTGTTCTTGAGTTTTTATTTGATTTAATTTGTGTCCTTTTAATTTGCAGAAGTTAGAAACTGCAGCTCACCTACTGCACCAAAGTTCTCAATTTTAGGAGCCCAGCTTTAGTCATTTGAACATGCTTCTAAATAAAATAAAACCAAAACTATACTTTTGATCTATAATAATAGCTCAATAACTTTGTCAAGAAAAGCTCTACTATATGCAGTGATGGTTTGTGGAAGGGTGTGGCAGTTTTAAATTTGTCTTGTGCATGGTGTTCAAATAAAGTGATATTTACATTCATGTGATTTACTGGTCAGCATGGCCATTAATGAGTAGAAAATGATTAAGCTTTGATTTCCTTTTTTTAAATCGTGTTGCATTTGATTCCTGATCAGATTCCCTCAAAGTGAGCTCTTATTCTTCAATTTGGGATTTGATGTTGAGATTATAAAGGTAGAGGCAATCAAAACATTGTTCCTTATTTACAAACAGCTTGAAATGAATACTTCATTTAAGTTTGCACTTTAAAACCAAACCCTCATTTCAGAGTAGCGTAAGTGCTTGTGGCTCCACATTACTAGCTCTGTGAAATTCTAAGGGAATCAAGTAATTCATGATGACTTCAATTGTCTGCAGACTGATTTCATACAGTGTTCTTTCCTATGGACATTCTTCCCTCCTTCCCTTCTTCGCCTTCTGTCACCTCTATCTCTATCACAGTGTTCAATATCATTGACCTCAGCAGCAAATTTCACTCGGATTCACTTAGGATCACAGGAATCAGGGGAAAAGTGGTTTTAAAGGTGGATTCTCCAGCACATTTTAAGAAAAGGGACCAAAAGTTATTTTAGCTTCCTCAATAGATTGCATGTTGCTTATTAGGATAAGAAGTGAATATTAAATGCAATATATGTCTTGTCTTTACTATGGCATCTGTTTAGGAGTTGTTCAGATCACTGCAGTAGGGCTCTGCGAATAAACCATGTAACCTATTATCATGGATCTAATGTACTGTAACTTTATCAGTGAACGGTAAAATCTCCAATAACAAGTACAAACATTGAACAATTACCTATGAAGATTTGTAAAAGTAAAATTTTTCCAATAGATTTCATTCTTGTCATTTTGTAAGACGACCCTGCAGTCCACCAGTTTGTAACTTTTTTAATAAAATAGATATCTGTATTCCTGAGGCTTGTGTCTTTAATTATTATTGGTATATTGCTTCTTGTTCTAGATTTGCTAACTTGTTTTTTTTTAGCAGAAAGTCATTATCCACATGATACGTATTATAGTACATAATTTAAATAGAAATTAAAAATGTATTCACTTATTTCCGTAATTGCTATTTCGACATTGTAGAGGGAATTTTAAAATATGTCCTAAATTGTAATGCTTAATCAATTGGAAAAACTCAGAAATGATAAATGAATAAAAATGCATATAGCTTAGTCCATATGCAGAAGGTGATCCAAATACAAATTGGTTGGCTGGAAACTATCCGTAGATTAATAATTTCAGACAGTACTATGTGTATAATTAAGTTTTGATACACCAAATTAAGAAAGTTCAAACAAAGTTCAAAAGTTACCGTAGTTTTGCTTTTGGGGTGGATGCCATTTGATTTGTTTGTTTTAGCAGTGCTTGGAATTGAATCCAGAGCCTTGTACGTGCTGGGCAAACTCAGGTGCATTGCTACATTGTCTTTTCCATTTGAAGGTTTTGCCAGTCGCTTAATTTACTGTCAAGACCAGTACTTTTAACTTGAACTGTGTAGGTGTTTTAACCTTACTTTTTAAACTTAAGATCAACTTTTTAAAATGAAAATGCCTGTGTAGGTGCCTATGGATTACATGTGGGAATTCAGAAAGAATTGGCAGAATTCCTGTGTCACAACATTTAGAAAATGTTTATTGTTTATTACTATTATTATTGTTTGTTTGTTACTGTCAATCACAGACTTCTGTTCCAGCATCCCATATATGCTGCATTAGATACATCCTCCCAGTCTTCCAGGGTTTGTCCAACTTTCTTTGGCCAAAGGAATAGAATCCTTTCATCCAGTAAGGCCCACATTTTTAACCCGGTGAGCCAAAGAAAGAGGATGGCCTGGAACAAGAAACAGCTAAGGAAAAGTCAGCAGATAAGTTAGAACTAGCATCAAGTTTCAGAAGGAACTCTATCCCACATCACCTGTACCTACTCCATGTGGTCCTGAGAGGTCATTCTTACCTAGGAAGATGGTTAATCTAATCTTTACACTCCATCAGAATATAAGATACTAGGGTCATGATCCAGCGCTGTAAGACTTACTTAGGATTGAAGTATAGTCTCATTTATAATGATGAAACTAAGACACAGGAAAGTCATGACTTAAGCGCATAAAGGAAAAATCACATGACAAAAAAATGATTATTTTCAACATGAATTCATCGTTGAGTAGAATCAAATTGGTACTATTAAAATCTTGTATGGGTAGAGAAATGGCTTGGCAGTTAAAGGGTACTTATACCAGGAAAGCGTTTTTGTTGCCAGCACCCACATCAGGTGACTAACAATGTTCTTAACTCCAGTCCCAGTGACTCCACCCTCTTCTGTTGCCTGTAGGTACCAGGTACACACACACATAGTCTGTGTACATTCAGGAAGCATTCTTCACAGACTAATGTTAAAGTTTTGGGTTTTGTTTTATTTATTTATTTTTGATTTTTCAAGACAGGGTTTCTCTGTAGCTTTTGGTTCCTGTCCTGGAACTAGCTCTTGTAGACCATGCTGGCCTTGAACTCACAGAGATCCACCTGCCTTGCCTCCCCAGTGCTGGGATTAAAGGCGTGCGACACCACGGCCCGGCTTATTTGTAGAAATCTTGAAGAAACAAGACTTTTTAAAAAAAGAAGAAGAAGAAGAAATGGCTGTTTAACTCAGTGTAACAGTCCACGTGCAATAAAGTACTGTGGGTCCTATTTAATGTGTGTGTGATACTGCTAAGAGTTTATGTAAGACATAAGCTATTTTCATTATAGCTATTTTTCATTGTAAAGGCAATGTCTTAAATCAGGGATTTGGCAGCCTTTGACTACCAGACAGAATCCAGCCCCGTTAGTGCCAAAAAGAACTGAAGTTTGATTTAGCAGCTGTATCCAGAATCCATTGCAGAGCTCAGCTGCTCCCCCCCGACCCAGTGCTCAAACTTAACAGTATGCATGGAGAATCAGAAGTGCAGCTGGTCCCAGTCACGTTCTTCTTCAGTAAAGAACACTACTTTCATGATTTTCAGATAGTTTTCATCGCCCAGGTTACCCCGTTCAGAAATGCTGTGGTTTCTACCTTTGTATTTTAAATTGAGCTGCTTCCTTGGAGCGCAAGCTCCAAGAACTTTGGCTACATCACCTGTTTATCCTTGGTGCTTATCCCTAGTTTGTTGCGAAGATCCAACAAATGTTTTACAAAATAGGCATGCACCCAGGTGTTTGTCTTTTAGCAACCCCTCCCCCGCCCTTTTTCCCTGCTGGATTTTCATACTTTATCCATTGGGTATCTTGGGAAATGGGTTTTTTCCTTCATCTTTGGTAATGTTGGATTTCTTTTTTGTTATGCCTTTTCATTTTGTTTCTAATAGTGGTTTCTAAAATCACTTCCAAAGTAACAGTATATCATAGATAGATGTCAAATATAGGAATTATGTGACTGGATTTAAAAGCCTTGGGTCCATAATCAAATCCTCTATGATTCAAGGAACAACATTATAATGAGTGGATTTAAGACCTGCTCCACAAATAAGATGAATGTCTGACACGGTAAATCTGGCCATGAGCCCACAGACACCATGGGGACCCTACTACTATATTATTATACATTATATATTATTCTGATAAATAAATGGACATAGTGTATAACTTCCCTCAAAATTTGTACCTCTCAGACCTCCTCAGAGACATTTCTTCGTGCGGTGGACAGTGGTTCGCATAGAATCAACTGTCAATCAAATGCAGAGAATGAGGGTGCCTGGAGTACTCAGTCACAGCTTCTCCCCAAGGCTCAGGGATGGGGGGATTGGTGTAGGAGTTCCTTCTGTTTGTGTGTTGCTTTCATTGGATAATGAATAAAGAAACTGCCTTGGTCTAGTTGATAGGGCGGAA